TTGAATTCTACTTCCCTTTACATACATGGAGCCCAACCTCCTATTTTGACTCCCACTGAGTTCAATTTCACTAAAACTAATTTGTAAAGCAGAATGGAAGAAAAGGAAAACCAGAAAGCTAGTAGTATGATTCAACAAGACTTGTAATATGACATGAAATAACTGCTACAGAACAGAATGGTGCAGTTCATTAATGGTCTATTCTGTTGTCCAAAGGCAGCCAGATCATCGGTGTTGATGATAAAAGGCACTGCACATTACAAGGTAAAGCTGAAATCTTTGCAGCAAAGTCCCACTTGCAAATTGTGAAGCATTTCCACTCCACCGGAAAGGAAATAGTACAAGACTAATAAGAATTTAAGGAGAGAAGCCAGCATATGAAACTGCTATTGATTGAAGATGAGGCATAGCACGGAAGAAAGAGGTGTGGGCCCAGTTTTCAGAGGTACTGAGCAAGGGTGACTCTCGTTGATGCAACAGGCTTTTACCATCTCTGAAAGCCAGCCCCAGCTATGGATCTGGATCTTGCGTTTTCACCTCCTGAGGTGTTGTGCAGGTATTCAGGCTGCCTTAGAATGAGCCACAGTTTCCAAGGCGGGAGCCACGGCTGCTGCTGTAGGACCTCCTGCTGTAACAGCCCCCCATCCCCGAGGAGCCCCCATGCCCAAAGGAGCCCCCCACCCCTGAGGAGCCCCCCTCCCAACAGCCATACCCAAAGGAGCCCCCAGATCCAAAGGAACCCCCCATCCCTGACATGCCCCCTGAACCAAAGGAACCCCCCGTCCCATAGGACTCATCAGAGCTGTATGGGATCCAAGCACCGTAAGGCTGGGGGAATGATGGTCCCCCAATGCTCTCCTGAGGGCAGCTGCTGAGAATCGGACCCGGGAAGGTGAGGACGACCGGCGGGGCGTGCACCACGGCTCTCGAGTCCCCACACGATGCCACACAGGGCTCAAGGCTTCTGCTGTAGGCACATGGCTGAGTGCACATCACCTGACAGGCGGGCAAGCACTCAGAGCTAATGTTGTTCAACATCATTCTTGGGGAGTGGAGATGAAGCTGGGAAAGACAACATGTAGTCAGGAAGTCATCGTATTCAGGTGCCAACAGGTTCCCAGTATGAGCCAGGTGCACCTTGTCATAGAATCATAGAATCATAGAATCATTAAGGTTGGAAGAGACCTCCAAGATCATCGAGTCCAACCATCAAAGCTCCAGCTGCTCATCAACTCCCAGTTCAACCCTCCCTCACAGTCTCCATTTTCCCTGCTATTTTCTTCCTGACTGACCCCTTTTAAGGCTTCTCAGTTCCTCTTTTTCCTTTGTGTGCCATCCACATCTCTTATTCTTCTGACTCTCTCAGAAAATATTGCTCTTTTCTCTGGGACTAAATTACTTGATTCTTATACAATTACTTGTTTAGAAAAGTCCCATTCATTCTCTTTTCAAAGTAGACCTACAGGAAGATTTGCCTATAACTTCAGAAAGTCTCGAGAGGAAAGTAACAGAATCTTCCTTGCTCTGTTCTTTCCTTTCCCCCAGCTTTTCTAAGAATTCTTGCTAAATCTACTCTTCTCTTTACCTCAGCTTTTCTAAAATTGCTGGCGTTTTGCAAGATAAAAAAGAAGTAAGTTTTAAGTATTCTATAGCTACAAAGAAGTGCAATGAAGTTAGGCTTACCCTGTTGTCTTGGAGGAATAAGTCAGTGGAGCTGGAAGAATAGAAGATTTCTTAGTTCTCTACCCTTTTATACACTTTCTTAGACAATAAGAAGGATATGAGGTCATCCATTATGCACTAAATTCTTGTCACTTACCAAAAAAAAAAAGATACTCTTCTAAGCATTGCAATTGTTTTCATTTCAATTCATAATTAGTGATCCATTTACAGCCCTATTTTGAGTGACGTGCATCCAACACCCAGCAGTTTCCTTTTGTCTCAAACTTAATGGAAAAAATCCTTTTGGCGTCAATCTGGTTTCAACTGAAACAGGAGTTGATCTCTCTGTTTACTTCTCTTTAATGGCTTTAAGGAAGGTGGCTGATGTGTCAGTCCCACAATTTATTTGTAAGACTTAGATTTAGATATAATACCTCCCAAATGGAATCATCCAACCCCACCTTGGATGGGGGGTCAGCATTCTTTGCAACCCCACCTGTACCTATTGACCGAATTGCCCTGCAAAAAGTCTTTCAAAACACAGATAAATGGGTTTGAAGTGACACATGACATCTCCTTTAAGCTCTGAGCCCTCTGAGTAATTTTACCCAAGTATGTATCAAAACTCACTTTGGGTTGTTGTGCTTAGAGCCTTGTGATGAGGATGCCAGTGGGGCCACTGTGGGGGCATACCCAAAGATCAGCAGGTCTTTTTTGCTCTCAGTGGATCTCAAACTTAGAAGTGAGGTTGAACTTTAAAATTATCTAATGTTGCTCAGCATCGGGGTCAGGCCATTCTTGAAAGCAGACTTGCAGGGTTGATCTTTCTAGGGGCCCCTTCTTGGTAAATCATTAGCAAAAAACAGTACGCAGGGGTCAATCAGCTTCCATTGTAAATCCAGTGTAGTCAGCAGAATGATATTGCATAGGTATTTGGCTGTACAATTTCAACACAGTAGAAAGCCCAAATTTATTATATGAGAGTCATATTGTGTAGTTCTATGGATGATTTACTAATTAGAAACTATGAAAATAATTAGAGGTATTAGAGGAGTCACTCAGAAAAGAAAACGCATAGTTTGGTAAGTGCTAGAGATTTTATGAGATGCTTCACATCCTTAGAGTTGCCTGCAAAAAGGTATAAAAGCAGAAACATCTCAGGAGCCTCCTAAAAACTTCTCCTGACTTACCTGTCTTGGTGCTCTCGGTGAGTTTGATTTAAGCTAATAATTTTATATCTGTCATGTCTCTGTAGTGATAGTTTTAAACAAGGACTCTTTCCTGTGTCTGTATTTTGTGATTTTAGCAATGAGATGTCGCAGTGAAATCTTAGTTTTCGTAGGAGACTCACTGCAGTAGCTTGTAGGCAGTGGTGAGAATCAATTTTACATTTACAGATAGAATTTTAAGAGTTACTTTATTTTTTCTTATGTCTTTCAAAACTTGAGGTGCAAATATAAAGCTAAACCCTAGTGAATAAACAAAGTCCTAGGCATCCTCCACAGGGGCAAGAAGGGAGGAAGAAAAGGGATCACAGGACAGGGGGACTTGAGGGAGGAATAGGAAGCATGAACAAGGATCTAATCTGCCTACCTAACCCCATTGCTGTCACGTGTGTGATGGGCACCCATCGGCACCTGACTGTGGTGGTTTCCTGACTACATGTTGTCTTTCCCAGCTTCACCTCAAACCCTGAGAACAATGTATGACAATATCAGCTCCCGGTGCTTGCCCGCCTGTCAGGTGGTGTGCGCTCAGCCATGTGCCTACAGCAGAAGCCTTGAGCCCTGTGTGGCATCGTGTGGGGACTCAAGAGCCGTGGTGCACGCCCCGCCGGTCGTCCTCACCTTCCCGGGTCCGATTCTCAGCAGCTGCCCTCAGGAGAGCATTGTGGGACCATCATTCCCCCAGCCTTACGGTGCTTGGATCCCATACAGCTCTGATGAGTCCTATGGGACGGGAGGTTCCTTTGGTTCAGGGGGCATGTCAGGGATGGGGGGTTCCTTTGGATCTGGGGGCTCCTTTGGGTATGGAGGCTCCTCAGGGATGGGGGGCTCCTTTGGGCATGGAGGCTCCTCAGGGATGGGGGGCTCCTTTGGGCATGGAGGCTCCTCGGGGATGGGGGGCTGTTACAGCAGGAGGTCCTACAGCAGCAGCCGTGGCTCCCGCCTTGGAAACTGTGGCTCATTCTAAGGCAGCCTGAATACCTGCACAACACCTCAGGAGGTGAAAACGCAAGATCCAGATCCATAGCTGGGGCTGGCTTTCAGAGGTGGTGAAGGCCCATTGCATCAGCTACAGGAGCCACCCTTGCTCAGTACCTCTGAAAACTGGGCCCACACCTCTTTCTTGCATTTTTCACTTTGTCTGTTATCAATGTTAATAGCTTGTCAATGCTTCTGTTAATCATCTCACAATGCTAGATCCCTATTTTTATTGTGCCAATGTAAGAAAAAAAAAAATTTGTAAGGCCTGACACAGAGATTGTCAATAAAACTGTGACAGAAGAAGAACAACTGGTGGAAAATGGACTCTTCGTAGGCAATGAATGCTGTGCCCTTCCCTGGAACTGAGGAATTATCTGCTTTGTGTTGTGTGCTATCTCATTCTGCAGTGTATGCCATTTCCCATTTGTATTAAAATCCTCCTGCATCATCAAATTTTGTTCAGCTTTTCTTTCTCCGCAAGACTGTTTTGGTCCAATCCTTTCCACTAGCTCACTAGGCTTCCTAGAGCTGGTTACATAGCCTGTGAGCAACAATTATGTGTTTTTATGGTAATATGACCGTAACTGGTTAAGTAATAAAGGTGTTGCAAAAAGGATGGTTATATGAAGCATTCAAAGTTTCAGCACGCAAAACAGTTCACCATTGCTTCTCCGTAGGGCACAGAGGTTTCTGAAGCTGATGACTCAATGCTTTGTGCTGGTGTATGAACAGTTAGCAAACAGAAGTCGCTTGCCACAGACAACCCTCAGATAAATAATTTTTCATCAGTGCAGCTGTTTCATTTCATGTCAAATGAGGGATGAGATTTAAAATGCCACATGTACAAGACCTTTTCAGAAGAGGTTAGGCTGCTTAATATTATCTCTCCCTGGCCGATGGGGAAAAGTGTAGGAAAAAAAAAAAGTGTAAGGGATGAGACATGGTCAGCTGAAGACTGGAAATTCATAGGTTTTTTATTTTATACTCTATGGTATAAAGAGCCCAACTCTTCTCTTCTGAAGGAGTCTGTTTGTTCATCCATTCTGTCACCATATTTCATTTAGAATCAGTTTATAGGAATTATCATGGTTCCCTGGAGACGTCTGAGGTTTAGGCAACTTCAATACATTATCAAGAGTGCCTAAAGAATGCAAACCAATATAAAAATACATTTCTCTGGGGACTGTGAATGGTAACCAAAGAAAATCAACCACATATGCCTTACTTGATTTCTGAGATTTGTTACCTTGAACTTGCAGTGTTAAATACCTGAAGACATTTAAGAATTTCTTTTGACTGTGGCCCCATCAAAGGGCTGCATTTATATGACAGCATAATGTGCTTTCATATCAGAGGGTGTGCAAGAGAGACTTTCATAATGTTGAGTGACACAAGACCAGAAATATCTCCTTGTGGTGGTGTTTTCTGTAGCTGTTGCTGGGAGTAGAAACGCAGAGACTGATGGCCGAGTCTCCAAAAGAAGTCTATTGAATGCTAAAGATGTGTTAAAACCTGGCTCTACTCCATTTGATGTTACCTGGAAAAACAAGAGGGAGATCAGGAACCAAAGAAAGATTTTTTAAAGTTTTTTTTTTATACTTCATGTTGAACTACAGAATCGTTCATGTTCAGAAAGTCAAGAAGGATGAACTGAAACACAAGGACAATTAGCAGAGCCAGAACACAGAATGTCCCTGTCATAGGTTCCTGGTCCCACTTTGAAAATCTAACTTTTATCTCTTTGTTAAAACTAAGGTGAAAATGACAACAAAAAAAATTTTCATTGACAGCTTTTCTGGAGATAGAAAAAAAAAAGAATTTAGAGGATACTCACATGATTAAGCAATTGCTTAAGTTTTCCTTGTTTAAAGAAGCTAAGGAATTTTAATCTGTGATTTGTTTAATGATTGCAGACAAGAAACTCATCAGCTCCAAGGAAAACATTAATATGACTGAAGAAACAGGTTCAATTTGAAAACAATTAGATAATTTGTTTGCAATCATGTAGCTCTGCAGCTAGGAGCTAAGATATCATCAGGAAGCAGAATTCCAGTTCAGTGGCATGAATCCTGAAATGTGTCACAGGATGCAACGTTTTCCACTCCTCCAAATTCCGTTCAGCTAAAGGGGCCCGATGGTCTCTTAAAGACTTAAGGCAAAATGTTTTCAGCTGTCAGCTGGCTTCATGGCAATGTGTTTCATAATTAAAGTGATTTATAGGTGAAAAGGTGAAAAAGAAAACACTAGGCGACCATATTGATGCAGCATAGTTTTAATGACAGGGAAGCACAGGATACATTTGGTGAAGACAGTCACCCAGAGCACAAAGGATGTTTCCCAGGGCTTTGGGAAAGCGATGCAGCTCCACGCGTGCCAGCAAAGTCGATCGCTTGGACATCACCGGGTTGCAGCTCCCCCTGCAAGGTTAGCACAGCCCAGGGCTGCTGGAGCGCGAGACGTTGCCCCTTCAGAAATAACCGGAGTTACAGCTTCCTCCGCCAAACCTCCTGTAACCCCCACCGCTCCGACAGCTCCCCCCACTGAAGGAGCCCCCGCCGTAGGAGCTGCCTCCTCCACAGAGGCCCCCAAAGCCCCCGCCGTAGGAGCTGGCGCAGG